ATTTTTGGACATTTTTGCGAAAATCTTGGGACAAAAATATCCAAAAATTCCATAATTAACTGTATTCAGATAAAACCAATGCCGAAGTTGAAACCTTTAATGATCGAAAATCGACGTTTTGCAGAAACACCGTTTTCAAAAACTCATTCGATCTTGTTGACTACTACAGGCCTGATGCTACTGGAAAAAGATATCTTCTGACAGCCATGAATTCACTTACTGGATTTCTGGATGGTATACCCTTAAGCCGTAAGACTGATGAAATTGTCGCAAAACAACTTCTCAATCTTATACTGACGCATGGTATTACCGGGGATGCAATAACAGACAATGGAGCCGAGCTAAATGGACCACTTGTCACAGAAGTCTTCAAACGCTTTGAAATCCGTCCTACAACAACTACAGCTTATCGTAGCCAGAGTAATGGTCAACTCGAGCGAGTTCACCGGTAAATACACCTGAAGCTCAAAAGCTTGAATGCTTCAAATAAAAACTGGTCCTCAGCGTGGCCAATGAGCAAATACTTCATCAATAACCTTCCAAAAGAATCTTTGGATGGACTCAGCGCAAATGAAGCCTACTATGGAAGAAGTTTTCATCCACCATTCCAGACAAATTTCGACGCAAAAGGCCCTGGAAAAGCCTGGATAAAATCAATTGAAAGCTACTTCAGAGAGCTCTACCCTTCGATCATAGCGCACCAAATTGCAAAGCACCGCAAACTTGTCGCCGCCGACAAAAACAGCTGCCCTACCCTTAAAATTGGTCAAAAATGTTTGATCTTGAAGCCTGCTCTAGGCAAACTCAGCAGAGTTTGGCACGGTCCTTATACGATCCATAAACGCATCGCAAAAGACTCGTACATTGTCAAGAACATTCATACGGGACGCGAATACAGAAAACACATCAATCTGATTCGGCCTTGTAAAATTATAGAGCTTAATAAAAACGACCACGATGACACCAAAAACAGGAAGCACACTCAACGAATGGAACTGTAACACAAATGAAAACCAACAATCTTCCAGCTAAACAACCAATCAAAAAATCGCAAAATTGTTTTGATAAAATTCTGTCAACCGAGACAATAATCAACTCCGACGACGAAAATGAAAATTCTTGGTCGAAACGGCTTCGACCGAGAAAACGCCAAAAATAAAAAAGGGAGAGGAAGGACCTCTTAAATCCCTTTGCAAAAATCCAGCTATGTAAAAACCTGGTTGCCAATACATAAAAGCCCATTGGACATCCGACTTGCAAGTATCCAAATGGTAGCTCATGGAGAAGGGACCTCCGAAATTGCCAATCGTCAAAACCCCATTGGATAAAATCACAACTGCAACAACAAGTCAATATGGCCAGTCTTCGAAATGAACCTCTTTTCCGGAATTTCTCAAAATGTTCAACGGCGCCATTCGAGCTTTTGAGAAATCTGGTTAAAATCAGTTCGAGCACGACTGTGGAACAATAAACTGCTAACGTTCCAATTGGCACTTACTGCAAATACGGAAGGAATACCGTTAATCCTTATAAAAAAACGCGCGCCCATCAAGTGCACTTGCGCACTGTCGGAAACGAAGCCGCTCATCAAGCTGCTTATCGTATACAACAATTACAGTTAAACAAAAGAAGGCTACTACTCATGATACTTGACAAGTAAAAAGTGTTCCCTATCAGAAAATGGCAGATGAAGTTTTTAAAACAAGCTAAGGAGAGAAAATGAGAGCGATCGAACAAGATGTCCATTACTTTAGGTCCGAGCCCCTCAAAAGAAAATTTCAGAAGCATTGTTTACCCTGCTTGTGGGGAATTGAAACCAATTTCGATTATATTCCGAAATTTCGAGCCCTCTTAACTGAATTTCACGAATTAATGATGAATCTCCGCGCCATCAATCAGCAAATACAAGAACAATGCCCGACGCTGTGCTTGCAAGGATTGCCAATTATACTCAAGCATGACGGTAATCTTCGATTACTAGAGTGGATCATTCTTGCTAGTTTACGGACATTCTTCTCCCCGAAAAGGGTGACCCTCCTTTCGTCAGGAAAATTCTTGCATCCTCCATTCGTCAGGAAAATCCGTCAATTTCCTGACGAATGGAGGTTGAGAGTTTCTAGAACGTCCAAGCTCATGTTTTTCTTCAAAGGATCGACCATCAAAATAGCGAATTTCATGGCAAACTCGTTCTTTTTAGAGTAATTTTGGATAAAAATCACTTTTTTGAACATAAAAGTGTTAATTTATTCAACCCTAACCTTTATTTTAGAAAGAATAATCATTTGATAAATCAAGGGAAAATCATTAGAAAACGAATTTCTAGAACATCCTCCATTAGTCAGGAAAATCCGCCAGTTTCCTGACGAATGGAGGATTTCCTGACGAAAGGAGGGTATCCGGAAAAACCTTGCTGAATCAGAAGTTATACTGCGAGATTTTGAAAGGAACTTCAATAGAAAACTTGGACTTTGGAGTAGGTTAGAACACCAAAACACCATAAGAAACGAAATCCAAATCGCCTTGAGCTGGATTCCTACTCTAGTTGAAGACATTCTCCAAGACCAGCCACAACCGGTCCAATCTGATATATCATATTAGCTCATGATTATATCATATTAGCTACTGAACATCAATGCTAACTCAAGTGCTACTCAAGTGCTGATCACCGCCCGAGTGAACCGATCACTGCGCGAGTAACTCCTTCACTGTTTTTCTGTTAACAATATTCAGTGAAACCCCAACTTAAGGCCACTTTTTGGATGACAGCTAATTTGAAAAGTGGCCTTAAGTTGGGTGATTCTCCAACTAAGTTGGATGACGCAAAAATTTTTGTATTTCTGGAGGAAGGGACTGAATCATGGGAATCTAAAATGAAATTTCTTGCACGAACCAAGTATGAATTGTAAAAACTGAATGCGCTATTTGAATCAAACCTTAGGTTATCTTTTCATTCTCTTAAAAATAAATTTGCTGCAAACATGTCGCAAGAAGAGAAGAGAATACACATGACATTTGCCAAGAAAAAAGATATGCAGAGATTCTAGTGAAAACGCCGAAGAAGAGTGGAGCATTTCTTGGCGCTTCAAATTGATGAAACACGAGCTGCAACTCCGATGTAGGTTGAAGAAGTACCACAAGTTCAAGTGAGAGAAGATGCCGACGCTGAAAAGCCATCGACTTCAAAATCGCCAAGGAAGCAGCCGAAGATAACGAGTTTTTTTATTAAAAAGTGAATCTGCGATTTACTCCCTGTGAATGAAAATTAAAAAAAAGTGGCCTTAAGTTGGATTTTTTTCGGATGACAGATTTTGGGGATTTTTCAAAAAAGTGGCCTTAAGTTGCTCGGCCTTAAGTTGGGGTTTCACTGTATATATTGTCTTTCTTTCAGCGAAACTAAGACCGCTCGACATTTACAAATAAAAAACTTATTACACTCACAAGCCTCTTTTGTAATCTCTATGCAAAAGCACTACACAACCAAAACCAGCAGATGAATAAGCAGAACTGACGGCGCGCTAGTGCATTACGCGGTGAAAGCGCTGCAATAATGAGTTTTTCTTCCTTTGAAGTATGTTAATAAACTCAAAGAAGTCTGATTTTCATATATTTTATTTAACAAAGCGCACTTGATATTCTGTTAAAATTTCATGAGGGGGAAAAAGCGGAACCTTCCAAAACCACCGAATGACTGAGAGTGACATCCCGGGCGCGCGCTAACTAAGGCTTTTTCCATGCGCTTGCACTCTGTTGACATTGCTCCCTGTGTTAGGTTCGAACCTTTTTGCATAAAGTGATAAAACCTAGTTGTTCGATATGAAATCGAGGGATTTACGGAACTCATTCCATTTGTACAATGTAAATTATGAAATTTAGACTTCCTGAAGTCGAATCAAAACTTGTCGAGCATGAAATTGCTACTCAAGAAGAGATTGACAGATCTAAAAAGACTTGTCACTATGGACAGAAGAAATGCAAGATTCTCCGACGATTCAGATCCATAGTCAAATCAGATTACTCTATTTTTTTCCCTGTGAAGCCGAAAATGCAAACATTTCATCACCGATCAGAAGTTCTTTTTCGAAAAGGAGCAGTCAATTTTGACAGAGACATCTTACCAGTCGGCTTGAATTGTCTTGATCAAGAAAGTTTAGAATCTGATGAAGAACTTTGACGAGAGAAGAGTGATTGTTTACCAAGAGGTTCATGTGCAAAGATGAACGAAAATGTCATATCGAGATGACAAGTGATGATAAAGCTACGCAAAATGACGATAAGAAGTGCCGGTTTTATACCCGAGCGCACTAATATCCCTTGCCAATTCCAGAGTGTCTTGACGACAAAATGGCGGGAAAACCGATGATACAACCACTCCGAGATAATTAACAATAAAAGATGAATGTGAAATCAAAGTGCCCTAAATGGCAGATTTTGCTAAGGATCGACGATACGTGCCGATCAACACTCAGTCCAAATTTCAGAATGACCACCGGACTGCTCGTGCAAGATTTATTTTTCTTGCAGCCTAATTGCTCCAAGAGACGATTCCAGCAGTATGTGCTTACTTGGATGCTTGGAATCAAAATACTACTGCTGTTTCTTAGAGATCCGAAGACAGAAGCATTCATAAATTTCCTCGAGTTTATTGAACAAGCAATCGAGAGATCAATTGAAGATTGGAGAATTGAACAGCGAACAATTATAATTTATAATTTATAAATTTTCCTGAATTCGCTAATGGCTTGCTAGGATTGATTAAATTTTCTGCTTATGGTGTGATGATCCGTTTTCTTCATGGCCCTGAGAGAACGAAAGATCAACTAATAGATAAGTACTCAAAAGTAGCAATTAAGCGCCACTTATGGAAGAGACTTGGAAAAATTAAGATTTACGAACTTGATGAGCTGCTTATCGACGTCAAAGCCGAAATAATCAAAGTTTTGCAACTAAAAGGATGAGACGTGCCGAGCGTTGACATTAGACGTGAACTTACGGAACACGCAATGCAAATAGTGCCTTTTGATGGTGCAATCATGGTACCTTATCAAAATGAAACAAGCAATTCGCTGGATTACGCTCAACATGCAACGCAAGTATCAAATACTGAAGTAACACCTATCGGCCCTTCGAATCGGAATACAACGGAAAACAATCTGCGTGAACATGATCAATCAGCAGCACAAACACAACAAGCATACGGAACATCGATCGAGCCGAGACATTCAAATGATGAAAGTCAAGAAAATATCGAAGGCCTACAAGCGGTTCAGAATGAATCTGAGTACCAAACACTTGTTCCTATTGAGAATGAACCAACTTTTCTTAACAATTTCAACCCACGAGATTCTCTGCTAAGACAATCCTGTTCAGTTGACGAAAATGCTCAGCTTCGAAACAGAAACGACTTCGATAAAATGTTTAATCCACCATGTAGAAAAGGATCTGTTACAGACGATGAAAATCATTACCAGACAACTGCGACGAAACGAACAAAATTCTCCCCACCAACGGACAATGGTTGTCTTACCACGAGCCCAACAGATAATTTTGATTAAGAATAAGATGATCTTCGCTTTCGCTTCGCTTCGCACTGGAGAGCAGAATTCGCTTCGCTTTCGCTTCGCAAAAAATCCAAAATTTTCGCTTAACCGTATGCGGCTCGCGGGGGAACTTTTTTCCCCCGAGCCCCCTTTTTGCTAATTTCTCGGCCAATTTTCGCCCAAAGTCAAAAATTTAAAAAGAATAAGAATCTTTATGAAATTTTCTATCTCGTGAGATTGTAAAAATGATATGTTAGTATTTTACATCGATGAGTAAATTGTAAAAAAGCGTGAAAAAAGACCATTTTTTGTCTCGAGAACATGTAATTTGTCTAGAGAATCGAAGGAACGAGCATAAAACTGGGGCGTATTCGTCTCCAGAACATGAAATTTATTACATAACAATCTCTAGTTCATCTGAATAACACCAAAAATTGAAGATTTTCTGTCTCCGAGACTCTGAAAACATGAAAATCGGCCCATTTCGCTCCGAAGAAGCGTAAGAAAATGCATAAAATTGTTCTAGATGGGCGGTGGAAAAGAATTCCCCCGCGAGCCGCACAGGGGGTGCTCTGACCGAGACGCATAGGGTTAAATTTTCGCACAGCAAGCGGCTTTGTTATTCTTTATCAAAGATTTGGAGAGGGGCATTATTGATGCCGCTTTAAATTCAAGTTTTCTCCGTCTTCTGAAGACGAGTCTAATGGTGGGTCTAACTCTTGATAAATCCAAGGAGTGACCGGTTAGCAAGCTGATTACCGGAAAACTCGTTGTCACCAGCCGTTTTTATTGTAAGTATGCTAGAATAATTTCTTATTAAGAATGATCTTTATGAACAGGGCTTATCTAGAATCGAAGATGACCGCCATATCTTATCTCCTATCGAGTAGAGGTGACCATTCGGGCAAGAAATCGTCGGTTGGCCGTCCGAATACCCGGCCGAAATCAAGGGCCAAGAGTTGCGCCGTCCGAATTCCCGGCCGAGCCAAGGTGCCCGAACTGCCCAGTCGGGCAAGTAGACGAAGTGCCCGAAACGCCAGAAAATGCCCGGCCGGGCAGGCAACCAAAGTGCCTCAAACGCCCAGTTGGGCATTAATTTCGATTTTCAAGTCAACAGAATTGGACTGGTGATGGGATTTTCGATAGATAAGGGCTAGAAAAATAAGTTTCGAGGGGCTTTTGATTCAGTAAGAGGAGCAAAAGAGCAAAAACAGTTGTTAAGAATGCGAAATTTCGGAATTTTCCTCGGCGCGGGCTTGCCCAACTGCCCGAAAGCGCCGAGTTGCCCGAAAGTGCCCAACTTGCCCAAATGCCCGAAATGCCCGCTTTTGCCCGGCCAAATTTAAGGGGCTGAGCCGAACGAATGCCTGACCGAACACATTTTGCCCGAAAATTGTCTGTTTTGCCCGACTGCCCGATGCCCAAATGGTCACCCCTGCTGTAGTGTTTATTACTACCTTGGAATTATCAACAGTTAGGCCCACCATTCGGCTTATATTGACGAGCTGAAAAGTACAGTAACAGATTTTTTGTAATTTTCTGCCAAAAAAATAGTTTTTGAAATCATCATCGCTTTTGAGTTGCTGATTGCTGAAGATTCTTCCCAGAAAATGCGTATCAATTCAAGCGAAAAAATTTTCGCTTTTTTTCGCAATTTTCAATGATATTTCGCTTCGCTTTCGCTTCGCACTTGGGCGAAGAATTCGCTTCGCTTTCGCTTCGCAAAAAAATTGAAAAAAACGTTCGCTTTCGCTTCGCTTTCGCACTAGGATTTCGGCTGATATTTAGACCCCTCATGATGAATATCGTGGCTTATTCAATAATCTATCACAAAACTTCCCCGAAGAGAATGACGAACCTCAAAGCTCGCCTGAATCATCACCTGGATACTCATCTTGTTCTGACTCAGACTCAAATACTGATTATAGTCTGAAAAAATAAAGAGGGAGGAATTTTCCGACGCTCGATTTTCTCTTGAGTCCGGCGAGCTACGACGAGCTTCACTGAAATCGACTTTTATGATTTTTCGCCGGTTTCTCGAGGTTCTTTGCTTGGTAAACACGTGCTCAAGTCCATATGAGCCAAAATTTATGATTTTTGTGACTCGATATGGGCCCATGTTCTCTTTGTTGTGCCCTAGAGTTATTCCCGAAGGGCGTTAAACAACGATATCTCCTATCTCGAGTGGATGCTTTATCTGGGGATCACTTATCAAATAACGATAAGTATATATAACGAAGACTATGGTTCAAGAATTCTTTACCGTTATCGGTAAGAAATGAAGTTCATCCCGTACATCCAAATTCCGTTAAAAGCAACATAATTTTTGCCACTATATGCTTCTTCTGCTTCGACTGTAGCTTTTCGACTAACAATCGAAGTGTGAAATCGCACATGAATGTCAAAAAAGTTACCGTGCGCCCGTCTTTGCAGATGTCGACGCAGTCAACATTAACCTTCGAGTACGGTGTAAGTGATGGTTCTAACTTAAGGGTCTGTTCGATTTTTCGAGAGAATTTTTCGGGAAGAAATAGATAGCAGGTAAGACACGATCTCATTGCTTGGTCAATAAGCTTATTCAGATTTGGGATGAAAAGTGGCTCTTTAAGAAGCCGCCCATGTAAAACCGCTCTACTTGCGTGTCCAAGGGACACGTGGTAGTAGTCTTCTTGTAATTTTGCGCTCGTTTCCGGAACAACTATCACCCATTTCTGACTTTTAAATGCGAATTTGTACAGAATGTCATCAAAAATTCTGAAAATACCTTCGACATTTCTTGATTTTTTCTCGACGACCTGTTTTCGAATTTCAGATATTTTTGGATCTTGTTTGTGGTCGGAAACTAACTAATTTCTATTTTTGGTCTCGGAATGCTAATTTTTGTCGTGTTTAACAATTCAAGTTTTTCTGTTCAAATTTTCGGCGCAAAAATTTTCTTGTCGACGAATCCGGTTTCAACAAATGGTAATCTACTCAAGGCATCCGCCACCCCAATAATGGCACTTTTTCCCTCGATGTACCGTACTTCGCAAAGTGGATATCTCAGAAGAACGCTATATGCTAATCGGGCCCGTGTGTTGTTATTTGTCTTTTAATTAGTACTTTCGTAAGATTATAGACGGTAGAATTGGGTACTGGTCAGGCTCGCCTGCCCCGAGGAAGAAAACCTACGCGCGTGACCGGTCGGCTGAGGCTGCACCCAACCGATCTCATACGCTTAGCGTTCGTTTACTCGAGGTGAAATACGTTTATTTAGAGATTCTAGAGAAGCCACACCAAACTAATCTAAATTCAGGTTTGTTCAGTAATCGCGGAGACGCAGCTTCCTACATCGATCATCATCACGTGTATACATCTCGGGCCTCCATCGTCGACGCTGGAGACACTGTAGATCCCGTGCTGTTTGTTTGAGTTAACTGCTGTACTAGAATAAACGTATCGAACGCTTACACGTGTAAGATAACGAGGGTGTTGAGTTTCTGCAGGGGCAATTTATCGTGGTGACTAGAAGCTTTGGGAAGGAATTACCTGATTCCGAGACCTTACTTCTAGAGGCTGAGGGCAGGAATTACCTGATTCCGAAACCAAGGCTTGGGCACGAACTGCAACTCAGTTATTCAAACCTCGAGTCCTCGTTGTTGACTTGGCCTACAATATGAACGCGTATGATCATAATGGAATGTTTCAGTGTCCTCCGGGGCTGAAATATTATTCCGGAAAGGAAATCGTACCACTGTCCTTTACGGCGGCGGACGATAGTGTAAGATCCCAGAAGATTCTGGGATGGCTCAATCACGTGTCGGGAATTCTCTCTGGAGAAATCCGAAAGAGCGATCGAGAAAACCGGTTTGCTGACCAGGTTTCAAATGTCCCTCTCCTTTGGGGCGAGAATTTCGGCAAATTGCCTGATTTGACGGGCCGGTTATCGGTGCCTGATAGTCTTGCGATGTTCGAAGAGTGGCGTTTAGCTGGTAGATACCGTGGAGTGTTAGAAAATTGCACGGTCAACGCCACCCATGATGGGTTTGCGGATAATGAATTCCAGGACCGGATGGCGAGTGAGAGGGCTTTCAAGGAAACGTTCTTTCCAGGCCTAGACTTGCCGCTACAGCGTTATTTCGAACAGGTTGACGGTAGACCGACGGCGGCTGACGAAGTACTCGCGGTAGTAAGAAAGATTTGTCCAATTGTTTGTGTAAACGTGGAGGACACTTCACGTGAAGATATTAAAAATGGTTATGTAACGAATCTAAACCATTACGCTAAAACTATGACTCGTGATTACGCCGATAACTCACGCACGAATGATTACCTGAAGTTTTTGAAATTTGTTCAAGTTGTTGGTAAGGGAGAGTTATCCCATATCAAGACCAGTTCCACTTACGAAGTAATCAGAAAGTTAATGAAAAAGATAATGACAAATAACGAAGTGATTCCAGGTAGATTCCCACGTGGCACCCCAATGGGCGCAAGTCGCTTCAGAGAGGAGTTTTGCACAACCCCAGATAGATTCGGGCCGTTTGCAGAAGCAACAGCATTGGCGCTATGCGCAGTAAGCTTGGATTCAAAGAAATGGGAGCAAATTCTTGAGAAGGTTGCGGCAAAGCGACACTTGGAGTTCAAGGAACTGTTGAGCAGAGACGTGATTGTGGAAAAAAGGCTTCTCTTGGACGAAATCGACAAGTTGTCTAAAGCTCAAGGGCACGTGAAATTGACGCAGGTGGAATTGGCGCTAGATATGTTCACCAATGATTTCCGTTCAACACTGGCGTTTGTCTGTTCTCAGCAGACCATGGCAGTCAAGAATAGGAAATCAGATCACGTGAAGAGTTTCGTTCCCGAAGAAGACGAGGCGAACGCTTTGGATGAAGATATAGAGGCGGAGTTTAATGCTTTTGTCTCTAAAAAGTTTGGCGCACAGCGAGCGGAAAAATGGATGGCGCGAAACAGAGCAAGTTTCCCGCGGCCAAATGGAAGAGAGATGGGCTTGAGTCAGCTGACGAATAGCCCAGATT